TTGATGAATAAATTAATACACATAAAATATGAATCACGGGCTAATTCAATGGTCACCGAACACTCCACTACTAAACAATCTGTGGCAAGATAGTAGCGTTCTGTATATTTGACCCAGATTTGACAAGCGTGGTACAGTTTTTTGCGCGTGTCCGTAATAACACGCACAAAGGATTGTGGGACAGAGTTCTTTATTTGCTGGCATTCTTGACTTTTGACTGCAGTTCTTTTTTATATTTTAGAGTAAATGCTTCTGATATGCTCTTACATTGCTTAATATCCGTCTGAAATTCTGGACTGTGGTCATATTTTTCGATTAGGAGTCGTATATTTAAATAACTCACCGTGACTAGTGTTTTGCATTATGAAGTATATTGTTATGAAGGTCAACACACTGCAATTTAGGTAAATATTTACTACTTCGTTATTTCATTATTTCGCTTTCCAGCATTTACAGGAAACGCTTCATTCTAGAAAATGCTATTGCAAAACAGTTGGAAATGTAACAGCAGAATACGTCATAGCACAGTCACTCTACTAGTAGAGTGACTGTGGTCCTAGTAATAAACTAAGTGACTTCTAAAGACATCTAAAGACTGAGTGGTGTTTGCGAACTTCGTATTAGTTATAAACCGACGTTAGCTTCACGTTTATGTCACACCATGGAAACAGCCAAAAACATGTTGCTTGTTTTTGAGCGGAGCGGATCGCCAACCAGCCTACCGGCTTGTTGTTTTGTGTGTGTGTCTGTTTGTGTGATTTTCAGTGTTTTCACATATGATTTCTTCTGTGTTTTTTTTGGCTTGGCCGATTTCTTTCAAACTTGGCAGGTAGGTCACACCTATACCCTAGTTATTAGAAAAAATCAGAAAATTTGTTTTGGCCCACTGTTGCCATAGCAACAGCCAAAAAACTGAATTTTGGATAGCTTTGCACCAAATGTATCTCCTCCGACAAATTCAGGATAAAACACTTCAGACATAGCTCATTCTACTCAGCTTGAGTGTGGGCACAAAGTTACTATTTGAATTTTTGATTTCTTTTTTCATTACCGAACAATTTGACCCCAAAGTTGGGGTAATGTTTCACCAGCAACGGCTTTTAACTCCTCTGTGATTTTTCGGCTCGGCTGATTTTGTTCATACTTCACAGGTAGGTTGTACCGTCACTAATTGAAAAAAAATCTGGCCCACCACTGCCATTGCAACATCCAAAAACTGATTTTTGAATACTTTCGCCCCAAATGTATTGCCTCCTACCAGTTTTGTGATAGCAGTGTTCAAATGACCATGCTTTTTATTTTGGCTACGATGCCCACTGGTAGGAGATCACCGGCGCCGACATTGTTACACTGTATCAACGTAATCCCAACACAACTTGGAACTTTGAATGAATCGTAAATGCTGCCTTCATTCTAGAAAATCCTATCGCAAAACGGTTGGAAATAATAAATGTAACAGCAGAATATGTCCTAGCACAATCACTCTACTCGTAGAGTGACTGTGGTCCTAGTAATAAACTACCGTAAGTGACTTCTAAAGACTGAATGGTGTTTAAGAACTTCGTATACGGGCCCATTTCGTTATAAACCGATGTTAGCTTCATGTTTATGTCACACCATGGAAACAGCCAAAAACATATTGCTTGTTTTTGAGCGGAGTGGATCGCCAACCAGCCTACCGGCTTGTTTAAATGACTGTGGTTCTAGAGCCGTATCTCTGACATTATTTGACTGATTATGTTAAAATTTTATATATTCATTCTACATAATGTTGTAGATATACAGAGGTATTCAAAATGAACGACTTGTGGCTATTTTGTTTTTTATGGGGTAATGCTGTCTCACAGCAATATCTCAAAATGGACTAGTACTTGTTTGACGATCAGATACAAGATGGCTAAAAAATAGCTTCTGTATCCATATCTGACATGTTTATGTTTGAACTATATTACTATAAACAAAATTATATATCTTAAGTTTGATAACTAACGGGGACTGTGCCATGCATGGCTTGTTTTCACTGATTTTTGACGAGTTGAATGTGAAATATGAAAAAAAAGGTATATTCGTTGTTTTGTTTTTTTCGCTGAAGGAAGGAAAATAGTGAAAATTAAGTATTCCTGATACATGTAGCTGTACTTTGTTCATAGGTGCTTTGGAATACACCATGTATTGTAAACTAGGTTTGAGTTTTATGTGTGTACTATAAATTTCAATACTGTGGAACAGATTTCTTTCAGATTCTGCATTTAGTAGAGCATAGCTATATTAGGTGACAGGTTCTTGTTTGAAAGGCTAATCTTAAATTTTCAAATAATTTTAAATATTCCAATTTCTACTTTATGTTCCTCTCACACCCTTAGAGCACACATGCTCGACGATCTTACTTTTTTCAGATGGCACTCTCAATGTTGTAATTTTGCTATTTCACAACTGATAATGTTGGTATTTCATAAGAAACATGATACTTAAAAGAGTAAGGAGTCTGATTGCACAATTGGAACATGGAAGGGATGAATCAGTGAAAATAAAATGCAGTGAAAATACTTTTTTTCTTTTATTTTACATTCAACTCATAATAAATCAACCAAATTCTTTTCAGCGAAGTCCAGCTAAAATAAAGTATTTTACATATTTTAGATATTACCGTAAAATTTGTATTAGCAGTCGCACCCATTCCTTTTGAACAATTGAGAACCAAAAATTCACCATTTCTCATATGTATAGATGCTCTAATAGAAGCTGCATCGCCTGTGTTGGGTTGCACATTTGTACCAGTTTAATAGAAGCCACAGCTTCTAATACAGATTTTACAGTTCTCTCTTTATAACAAACAACATAATTCTATGCTTGTATATGATTTTTAGCTGTGCTGTCGACTTTGTCGAGCGGAGCTTATCATATGAGTGATTGTCCGTCGGCGTCCGTCGTCGCCGTCCGTGTCAATGTTTTACTTTTTCGACTTCTTCTTGAAAACTACAAGCCTGAATGCTTTGATACTTGGTGTATATGTACCTTGCG